TGAAGGTTGAGCACAATTATTACTAAGTGAGGAGGGGATGGGGTAAAGACAAGCATTATCCTTTTTTCAGATTATTAGCAGGTGCTAAATTTTACTACTGTACAGCTTCCATTTCACTACCACAGCCTGGTATTATGAATAACAGACTAAGTAGTCCAAGGCTAAACTGACTTCTAGGACTTCGATCAGTTCTTACACAATCTACCTTCTTGAAACAAGGAACATCTACCTGTCTTTCTTTTAACATTTCCTCTTATATATGATCCTTCAAAGTCAACAACTATATTTCTAAAACCTCCTAAGTTCTCTTCACATTCAAGATGTACTTTATCATAATCAGGCGGCTTCATAATTTAAGCAGCTAGAACGGGTTTTTCAAAGTGGGATTCAAGGACCAGTTGCATCAGAAACTCTTACAGTATTAGTTAAAATGCGCACTGGATTCATGGGCACCAACACAGACCAAATGAAATGAGAGCAACAGAGCACAGCAATCTACATTTCAACAAGTTCCTGAAGTGATTCATCCATATTACTTAATAAACCTTGAATTAGTTGTGTTTTCATATTCATACAGCTTCAAATCCCTCTAGAGTTTGAAATCAGACAAAGAAGACAAAGTCAGCTTTTCAAGTCAGAGACCTGGATTCAAATCCTGCCTATTACTGTCTAGGCACTTATCATCAGGTTGCTTAATTTTTCCAGGCCTCAATTTCTTCATTGAATACAGGGGTAAGGATATCTTCCAAGAGATGTTGTTGCAGTTAAACAGTTGAGTATAGCAACAATGCTACAGGAAGGCTATCATTCTTTAGATTATATTTTGAGGCCTACATACCATTTATACCAAGAAGAATAAAGCCTTGCTGGGCACTGTGTGGCATACCAGGTAAACCAGAATGAATGAAATGCGGTCTCATTAATTTGTTTTCCGGTTTTTGGATCTGTCTCTTTTAAGCTCTGAAATATTTTTTGAGCTTCCTCTAATCTATGTGCTATTTTCTATTAACAGACTCCCACTAAATAACACAAACCCATCTTCCTGAACTATCCTTTACTACCATACTTGCACCAAAGTCCTAAATCTCTAGCCTGGCCTCAGGTTCAACATCTTTTTCTCTAGAATTAGAGCACATATGACCAAAGGCTGGTTCTATTGCTTACTAGCTATAGAGCTTTGGCTCAGGCTTAACCTGTGTCTCGGTGTCTTCATTGGTGAATAAGGATAATAACAGTGCTTATTTCATGAGTATTAGATAGTAAACCTATGTGTTACTTTCTGAGGCTTCCTGATCCAGCCCCCCGCCACTTCTGAATGAAGTAGGTTAAATACCCTGGTTAAATACTGTTGAACAGCCTTACTCATTTCTTTGCAGTACTTATTACCATAATCAATGTCTGTTTATCACAAAGATAAGGATCATGTCTGTCTTACACTGGTCTGTGTGACCCTTAGCACAATTCTGAATCTGTAGCAACATTCATAAAATATCTTAAGTACCTGATATCTACATAATTTTGTAAATCTGAGTATACTCTATTTTTCTTACAAGGGTTTTTTTTGGGGGGGGTGGTATTGAAGATAGAACTCAGGAGATCTCTATCACTGAACTACATCCCAAACCTTTATAAAAAATTTTTATTTTGGGACAAGTCTTTCTAAATTGCCCAGGCTGGCCCCAAACTTGTAATCTTCCTGCCTCGGCCTCTTCAAGTATCTGTGATTATTATAGGCATGTGCTACTTCACTAGTCTTAGCTCTCCTGGGATCTTAAGATCCTCTAAAAGTCACTTTTCTATGCCTGGGGGCAGAACTATGCTCATTTTACTTTTAAAATTTTTACAAATGCTATAGATATAGGGCAGTGGTAAAGTGTTTGCCAGCATGGGAGAGATCCTGGGTTTGATTTCTGGCACTGAACAAAACAAAAACTAGCAAATGCTTAATTTCTAGCCGTCATCTATTTCTTACTTCCTTATGTAGCTATTAAAAAAATTTTGAGGGCCAGCGATTTAACTCAGTGGTTCTGCCACCTGCCTCGCAAGCAAAAGGACCTGAGTTCAATACCCGGTACCGAAAAAAAAAAAAAATTAACACCATGTGTATAGCTTAGATTTATAAAGAACAATATTATTTTATTGTTTTTTTGAGACAGGTTCTCACTATGTAGTTTGGGTTGGCCTTGAACTCATTACACAGCCCAGGCTGGCTTTAAACTCACAATGATCCTCTTGCCTCAGCCTTCCAGGTGTTGGGATTACAGATGTATGTAACCATGCCCTACTACAACATCTGCCTAAAAGGTGTGCTATATTTCCCCAAAATACCCTCAATGTCTTTTCATTTTAACCCATATGGAAACATACTCCAAATTTTTCATAGTTTTCTCAATATTGATATTTCTCAAGCATAGGCTATTCTACCATCCCTGTGAACATGTCTGATGCTTTTAAATAGGGTATAGTTTCCTAAAAACAACCATATTCGTTGCTGGGTGTCATTACATCAAATTCTAATAAAGTGGACATTTGCTATCCTGTGACTACTTTATTTATATTATGAACATTATGGTTAAGAAAACAAAGTTTGTTTGGAGGTTGAGGCAGGAAGATTTAAAGTTTGAGATCAGCCTGGGTCACACTGTACAGTGAGTTCAAGGCCTGCCTGGACTACATAGTGAGACACTGACTCAAACAAACAAAAAGCACAAGGTCCGGAGCCGGACTATTTGTTTTTGGGCTCCTAGTTCTAATACTTAGTATCTCTATAACTTTGTGTGTGTGAGAGTGACACCAGGGCTTTTGCAACGACCATCCCCAGCTCTTAAAAAATTATTTTTATGGTGAGGCAGGAGGAGTACCAGGAGTTCAAGGTCAGCCTGAACTACATTTAGTGGAACGATCTCAAAAAACCAAAAAGAAAAAAATTTTTTTTTTTGGCAAATGGGAAGGGAACCAAGAGATGGAGGGAGGAGAAAAGAAGAGAACATAAAAGGAATTAAGATGTATTATGTAGGGGGCAAGGATGTAGCTCAGTGGCACAGCACCTGCCTGGCAAGCATGAGGTCCTCAGTTTGATCCCCAGTACAAAAAAAAGAAAAAAAAGATTATGTATTGTGTCAGCTGTCCAAGATGAATGTAATTATCATGTTGTGCATGCATGTACAATAAAAATAAAAATTTAAAGGTATGAATTCAAAGGTTTAATAAATGCTTCAACCTACATGAGGAATAATTTATAGAGCTCATTTGAAGTGCTAAGATATATAAGACATCACTCAAATCCTGTAAGTTGATATTCCTTTCCAATAAAGGAATGCTATATGAACATAGAATTTCTGGGATTATCCTTTTCCCTTTATTCTGAGACACTTACCTGCCAGACATATAGTAGGCACTCAAAAAATGTTAACTACCATTATTATTATTACTGACACCGGCAGTTATTTTCAACCAAGAATTGACTCCTTGGTTGATTTACATAAATCTTAGTTGTACTCCAGAATTCTTGAGTTTAAACAGTGTATTTCAATTATTGTCATTGATGAAGTCTCTCCAAAATCACTATTTAAATACTTACATTCTGAATTTGCCATTGTTGCTAATAAAATTCATATTCTAAAAATTTTTTTTAAAAAACATTTTGGGATAACTGTGTAACTTTTTTTTTTTTTTTGTATCAGGGATCGAACTCCAGCCCTTGTGCTTGGGAGGCAGGTGGAACCACTGAGCAAAAACAAGAGGACCAGCTGTGTAACTTTTTCCCCAATTGCTCTGTGCCCCAACTTCCTTGACTGAAAAAAAAAAAGGACAGTGATGGTGTTTATTTCACAGTTTGAGAGGATCACTGTCAGCTTGGCATGGTGTCTGGCATACAGCAAACAGTAAACAAGTAATTACTATATGAATCAATACACATATCCTTCACTCTTCCCTACTAGTATATTCTATTGTAATACTGGGCATCTCTACTGAAATCCAAGATATTTTACTCCTATCTTCTAACTCCAAAACTCTGCTATTCCCCTTCTGAGTAGTCACAGGTAAGAGACGTCTTTGGCTTCTCAATTTTCTTCTCTATAAATGAAAATAAGTATCATCCCCTTCCTCGCACAAATCTGAATGATACAATTGATATAAAGCTCCTTGCATGGTCCTTAGCATTTAACAGAGACTTCATATGTTCCTTCTGGCTCAATGAATGTGATCTTCACAACACTATATAAAAGACAAGTGTTTTATGAAAAAGGCAAGTGAGATCTGGGAAAACATGCCTGAAGTCACACAGATAAATAAAAAGTAAAAGCTAAAGGAGCGTGGTCTCACTCCGATTCAAATATTTTTCTTTTTCACGAAACCAAAACTGCTTTTCTAAAAGCAGGAGCGCTGGAACGACATTGACCCGTGTTTATTGCATTTCAATGCTTGAAGAAATGCAGAAACCGGCAAAATCAGCATACTTGCCATGTCGTCCAATGAAATTGCAAGTAATCAAAACACAGGGCATATTATTATTGCTATTATTAGGTCATAGGGTCGGCGGCGACGCGGACGAAATTTCAGTAAACAAAGTGAAGACTTTCTCCTCTTAAATTCCCAATGAAATTGTAGACTGTGAGGTGAAAGCTTCGATGGTCCGGCCTTCGGCGCTGGGCCGGTCCCTGCAGAGGCTATGCAGGAGGACGTCACACCTGCCCTTCATATCCTCCCCCTCACGTCGGGGCCCAGAGTTGCACCCGATCGCCCCTCACCTCCGGCTCCGGGCGCTCCGAGGCCATCACACAGCCCTCCAGCGCCCGGCGGGGCCCGAGAGGAAGCTCCACGCCTGACCTCTGACCTGGTTGTCTCCGCGCCCGGCAGGAAACGGAAGTTGGTGGGAAGTCCGAGTTCCAAGCGTTCTGATTGGTGGACGAAGCACCCTCAGCGGGCCCAGGTGACTGGAGAACCGGAAGAGGAATTCATCGTGGCAGCCAAAGCCACTGCAATGCAGGTGAGAATCTTCTTGGGCCTAGTGGCAGCTAGTTAGCTTCGGGAATCGGGACCGAGAGTGGGCTGGCTAAGACGATTGAGTCGTTGCAGAGCCCACAGCTTTGAGGGAAAGCAGAATGGGAAGAAAGAGGCGAGGTCAGCTGGACCGCGAGAGGCGCAGATGAGAGGTGGTTGAACCCGGGTGATAGGAGAGGGATAGTCTCGTCTAAGTCGAGATGAAGAAGGCAGCACAGACTTGCTTGCGTGTGAGAATGGATCCAGTTGTCATGTGAGAAAGCTGAGATGCAGGCGAAGAAAAGACGGCTCAAGAAAGTGGTGGGGCTCTCTCAGACCCGGAGCTAGGCTGTTGGATGCGGTTGTAGTTGGGGATCCGTAATTGGAGAGAAGCCCGGGAGCTAAAGAAATTGCAAATTGCAGGCCACGGAGGCCGAAAGCTAAATTGTTTATTGTCCGAAGGGGTGGGTAGAGCCCAGGATCAAACCCCTGTCAGGCGCATAGTAAAGTTTGCAAGACGGTTTTGAACCATTCTGCCCAGTCTGAGCCGAGTAGTTGTTAAGAGGGAAGAAATGTAGTAAGACGGGGTACCGCAGGTGAGGGGAAGGAAATGCTTTGCAGACGTCTAGCATTTGATATAGTTTTGCCTAGTGCACAGAAACATGCGCAGATTTTCTTGGTCTTGTTTTTCATTTGTCAGTTAGCTTCTTGCATCTGGTAGCTTCTCAATCAAATATTTACAGATAAGTGGAGCTTATGAAAGAGGCCCAGGAATACAGAAATAAACGAGTGCTTATTAAGTCAGCAAGAAGAGGGTTGAAACATCAAAAGCTAAGGATAAGTGAAGAGCTGAAGGGACAGGCAGGGAGAGTGCTGAGACGGTATTCAGAGAAAGCTTCATCCACAGGCAGATTTTCCAGAGAGTGTGTGTTGACAAGATTCTCCAGGCTGTCAAGGTAGACTCTAAGGCAGAGGAAGACTACTTGCAACATGCTAGAGAAGTGTCCATAAGATAATGAACTCAAAGCATTAAGTCTGGTGAAAATTTCTCAGTGAGGGGGAGTAGGATGACCCAGAGAAAAACACACAGGAATTAGGAGGTGATAAGAGAAGGAATCTGTTAGTAGGACTTGAGGTCAGGTGAACAAGTTGAAAGTTTAAGGTTAATGCTGTCTATAACTCAAATAGCAAAGATAGAAAACAACTTAACTTGTTTCTTTCTTTGGTATGTATCTGTTTGCATCTGTTTGGGTAACCAACCGGTTCCTATTGGTGCAGAGGGAGGAGAAGCAGCTTGAGGCATCATTAGATGCACTGCTGAGTCAAGTGGCTGATCTGAAGAACTCACTGGGGAGTTTCATTTATAAGTTGGAGAACGAGTACGACCGGTTGACCTGGTAAGGGTTTCCAGGGCAAGGGGCGTGGGGGGGGGTAGGTCCAGACCTCCTCATGGATGGTACATCTCTATTGATGTAATTGTTTATCTGTTGCAGACATTGTTGATTTGGAAAGGGCCGAGTTGCCCAACATTTGATAGGTGAAATATGATTAGGGCTGCCATGACAAGGAAGTAGAGAAGTGTCCAGCTTCTCAACCCAGATTGTTTCTAGCTTTTAAATCTTAGCCTTTAACTTCTCTGGCAAGGAGGTCCTTCTTGCTGGATCTCTTTCCACAGGTGTGGCTGTCTTAGTTCCAGCCTATTCTATAATGATGGCTATTGTTTCTAGGCCAGAAAGGAAGCTAATTTCTGAGTTTTCAATTGTAACAATGTAGTCATGGATCCTATTTTGTCATTGTTCCTCACCCCATTCGAACAGTGACCTGCCTTCTGTGTCAGAAACTGAAAGTGTATCCCTCATTCCCAACCCTATCATCCCAGTTAGCTAGTCTGGCTCTTGTTAGGCTAGTTGTAGTGCTGTAAGTCTTAGGGGTGAGTTTGGGTAGTTTTACCTTGGAGATCTCTTAGAGATTACTTTACATGGAAGGAGTGGGACATTCTGACACCTTCTTACCACCTGCAGGCCCTCTGTCCTGGATAGCTTTGCATTGCTGTCTGGACAGTTGAACACTTTGAACAAAGTCTTGAAGCATGAGAAGACACCACTGTTCCGTAACCAGGTCATTATCCCTCTGGTGTTGTCCCCAGACCGAGATGAAGATCTCATGGTAAGAAGAGAAAAGGTTACAACTTGAGAAATAAGTTTTTAGGTAAAAGTCTAAAGCACAGTTGTTGATCAGGTATTCCAGAAGTTCTAAATGTAGGGTCATGTGTGACAGTAAAAAGCAAGGACTGCATTTTGGAGGCTTTGGTTTTTGTCCTTCTGGAAGTGGGGGAGCCACTCCCCAAAAGTACTGTAAAAACCCTTAGGCCTGTGTCACCAAGACAAGCACCGTTCTCTTCCATTATCTGTCTTAGAAAGAAGTCCTTTTGTGACCTTATTCTTCCAGTTTTTGATGAAAATGTTGGAGAGAGAAGGGGGAGTTTAATTTTTGTCATGTTCAAAATAAGCATGTGAGAAGACAGAAATCACAGATGAGGTGAAGGGCATTGTGTCTTGGGTTGCTAGATGTTATGCTAAGGTTATGTCTGGAAATAAAGTGTCTGGATTTTCTTGGAAGGCGTAGTAGGATCCACTAAGATCTGTGTTACAGCGGCAGACTGAAGGACGAGTGCCTGTTTTCAGCCACGAAGTGGTCCCTGACCATCTGAGAACCAAGCCTGACCCTGAAGTTGAAGAGCAGGAGAAGCAACTGACAACAGATGCTGCCCGCATTGGTGCTGATGCAGCTCAGGTTGGACCCAGTCCCTGCCCTGTTGCCCCATCCCCGTCCCATTTTGAGAAGCAAGACATTGCTACTCCTGTGTAGTAGGGATGTATAGTTGCTTACACCTCAGCTGCCTCTGTAAGGACAAAGGAAGAAACTTCTCCATAATCACATTCTGCCATCCTAATCACTGCATGAATTTGTATGTGTTTTAGAAGCAGATCCAGAGCTTGAATAAAATGTGCTCAAACCTTCTGGAGAAAATCAGCAAAGAGGAGCGAGAATCAGAGAGTGGAGGTAGGAACCAGTTGGTGGCAAAACAGAGAGAGGTGTACAAGATCTCTGGAATAGTAATGGTGGTTTGGGTAGGTAGTGAAGTAAAGGCACAAGAATGAATGCTTAGGAAAGGGTTTCCATCCATACTGTTAACCTTTTATATTTAATGCCAGCCCTGGAACAGGTAGAAGAAATGGACAAAGTGCAAAGGGAGAATACAGAAATGGACTTCAGGGTTTTCTGGCTCTTCCTGTGGGGTATGAGGGAGCCTGGCTGCTGCTGAAGTTAGAACTCCAAGTCTTGGCAATTATCACTGGTCCTCCAGCTGTTGGGTTCAGTCGAGGGCCAGACATGTACTAAAGGGTCTCTACGTTTTCTTCAGGTCTTCGGCCAAACAAACAGACCTTTAACCCTGCAGACACCAATGCCTTGGTGGCAGCTGTTGCCTTTGGGAAAGGGCTGTCTAATTGGAGACCTTCAGGAAGCAGTGGGCCAGGCCAGCCCAGCCAGCCAGGAGCTGGGACAATTCTTGCAGGAACTTCTGGACTACAGCAAGTACAGATGGCAGGAACTCCAAGCCAGCAACAGCCAATGCTCAGTGGGGTGCAGATGGCTCAAGCAGGTCAACCAGGTAAGGTGACAAGTTGAAATGCAGCTGATTTTGAGCAGAGAAGTGTAAACAAGCTGGATTATCTGGGTCTCCAGCACCCTAGACCTGGAGATGTCTCCTTTTCTCCTTTGCATTATGGCTTAGAAAACGATTTTCAGCAGTAAAGAAGAATCTCATCTGAGACTTTGCAACAGGTACTAGAGAGGAAAAGTTTTGAATAAAAGAAATTACTCTTAGGGCTGGTGATTCAAGCACAAGGTCCCGAGTTCGATCCCCGGTACCAAAAAAAAGAAACTGCTCTTAGGCCAGGTATGGTGATGCATGTCTGTAATCCCAACCTTCTGGAGGCTGAGGCAGGAGGATTGCCATGAGTTCAAGGCTAACCTGGGCTAAAAAAAGTAAAAACCAACCAAACAAAAAAACCAAAACAGTTGCTCTCCCACCCCCATCTCAGACTTCTGTCTCAACTGTTCCACTCCCATTTGCTCTGGTTTAGGTGTGTGGTCGGTGTTTCTTTGTGGGTAGAGTTCAGTGGTCATAAAACACTCTCCTAGGTGTATCAGGAATTAACAAGCAGACAGTGTCCCAGCCTTACATGTATTCTTTGTATCCTGTTTGTTGCTTCTGGCATCCTGCCTTTTTTTTTGTGCCCACTTTTAGTAATTATGAAAACAATTTGGAGGAGTTTATATGCAGGCAGCCAGAAGAGCTATTTCTTCAAAGTCATCTAGGAAAGGACAACTAAAACGAGAGAACAGGTGCCAGAAATGTGGCTCCATCATAGAGCTCTTGCCTAGCATGTACAAGGCCCTGGGTGCAATCTCCAGTACCGCAAAAACAAAAACCCAACAGAAAACATAATACTCTCTTACCTGTGACCCTGAACAGGGGGGTCACACAAGTTTAGCTGTCTTTTGGGGAGTAGATGAGCAGAAAAACACGCTGGGGAATCTTCTGACTCCTACTCGTCTCCCAGATCACCCTTTTCCTCCTAAACACTTTTATGGGGGAGCTAGAGGAAGAACCATGTGTTCTGCCAAACAGGGTTGCATGCCAGAGAGATTTTGAGATGAGAAACGATACAGGAGGTGAAAACAGAGGAGGCCACATTTCTAATATATTGTCAAAATGTTTGCTTTGCTTCAGGTGTTCTTTCTTTGTGTTTCTTGTAGGCAAAATGCCAAGTGGAATAAAAACCAACATCAAGTCTGCCTCAATGCATCCATATCAGCGGTGAGTGTCAATGGCAGCCTCCTAGGTGACCTTGGCAGAGTTGGGCAGTGAAATTGTCCTTGCTCAAGGCTCACCTACATGGGTACAGTAAAAAGAATATGGCTTTCAGCAACAGACAGATCCCAGCTCCACCAGTGACTAGCTTTCTGACCTTGGGAAAGTGGCCTAATTTTTCTGAGTTTTGTGAGCCTGTTTTCTCATTTGTAAATGGTGGCAATACCTACCTCATAGGGTTGTTGTGAGGATTGAAATGAGAAAATGAATGTAAAACACTTAGCACAGCATATGAAGTAATAGACATTCAATAAAAGAAAGTTTCTGTAGCCACTTCTCCACCTTGCCCTCCACAGTCCAAAACTTACCCTGATTGTATACTGCTCAATGCTAATGGTTAGCTGATGGGCACAGGATCAAATAAGTCTATGCTTATTTTGTGCTGCCAGAAACTAGCAGCTGGTATATCCCTGGTGGGACATTGTTTCTTTAGACCCTCCTGCCCAGGTTTCATCCTGCTGTCCCTCTAAGCTGCAGGAGGAGACTTCTGGACCAGGTTAAACATCCACTTAGAGCTGGGCCTGCACTCCGGTCCGTCCTCTGGAAACCAGTTCACACTTCCCTAGGTAAAAGTCCCCATCCTTTATCCCACCCTTACACATGAAGGAAAATGTGAAGGGGCCAGTAGTTGGGCACTTTCTCAGGCAGTGGCTCTGCCAGGCAGAACTGTATGAGAAAGGCTTTTCTGTAGCATATGTAAAGCCCCTTTTTCCTCTGGGCTTATTTTTCTTAATTTGGGGGCAGCAGAAAACTGCACTTAATATTGTCTTTTATTGGGGTTTAGTTGTCCTCATAATAGTGGTTAGTTCCTCCACTGTAATCAGGATGGCTTTCCTCTATTTCACTAAGCCTATGGCTCAGATAAGAGTCAGATACATGATAGGAGAGGTGGCCTACTCTTATAAGGTTGAAGAGCAGAGTGGCTGGACAGTACCTGTCTCAATACTCCACTGTAGGTGTGGGCAGGGGTTGAGTCAGCAGAAGTGTACCTAAAAATTTCTTTATTAAATAAAGTTATTTAAATCGCTATTCACTGGCTCAGGGTTGTCTCACAGCAATTTATGACAGAGCTAATACAGGGATGAGAAACACTTTCATTGGTGCTTCAAGGCAATTCTGATTTATTCTCCATATAATGTTTCCTTATTTTTAATGAGCTTTGACCTAGAAAGCCTGAGATTTCCTTCCAACTTATGCTTTAAAGCTGCGTCTTTTCTGTTCTCTTCTGTTACACATTGGTACTTTGGCTTTTGCTCCATATTAGGCAGTATTCTGCCAGGCTGTGGCAGCAGAGGCTTGGAAAAGTGATCCCAGATATTTGTTACCGCCACTTCTGTCCCATCGAGGCCAGGATGGTGTTTCACAAAGCTCTGATTACAATACACTGCAGCAGGGGTGTCCTGTCACAAGCCCCAAGACAGCACCACATCGTCCCCTGCTTAAATAGTCAGACCCAGCAGCCCATTTCGGTGTTAACTTCTCGCCTTTTCCCTTCCCAACTGGAAATGTCAGAGCTAACCGGGGATATTGGGTAGAGCCCCAGCTGTAGTTCTCTGAAACCGCTCTAGTAGCTTTTGGTGACTGCTGTTCTTTGCTCTACCCAAAGTTTCTTTGTTTTCCCTGCCTGATACTGACCTCATTCCCAATATACTATTGAAATGGACTCTGTCTTCTGGGACCAGGAATATCTTTCCCCAACAGGAACAAATCCAGGACATCACCTACATCTTACGCATTCAAGCAAACACTTTTAATACCAGGGATGCTTATGCTTCAATATTTGTTACTCTGCATATGCTCTCATTTCCACCCTACCTCAGAAAAACCACCCCTGGGTACACAGACCTCTTGCATCTCCCACCTTGGGGCCCATAAAACCTCAGTGGAGAGAATGTAACTCCCACCCCTAGCACTCAGTCCCTTGGGAGGAGATGTTTATGGCGTTTCCTTTGAAGAAGACATGACCTACTCAGATAGTGGATATGTAAAAAGGTTATTCTTGCCCTACACCGGCAGTGTGCCTCTTCCTGACTTCCCCATTCTGTTTGGAGATTGTGTTCTCTCCTACCTTTGGCCTCTGGAGAAAGAGATTCTCTCAGATTTTGTTCTGGATGGAGAAAAGCAGAGCTGTGAAACCTCAAACACAGTTCACCCCTCTGAAGGTAAAAGCTTGTCAGATCAGTGTCAGCTTAGCGCCGATTGCTTAGGATTTCTTCTGTAATCTTCCCTGAGGTTGGTATTTAATCATGGCTGCACATGCCTTTGCTCATTGCCCAGCTTACCTCATCCTCTTCTTATGTGCATTGCTGCCCTATTTATTAGCTCACCTTACTCAACCATATGTTTTTTTTGGAAGAGCTAAGTTAGATAGGTTGTAGCCAAGTGTCCCTTCTAGCTCCATAATGAGTAACAGCATTAGGCCTTAGCTGGAGGGGATGTGATTGCTAAAGGGAAGAGGGTGAACTCTGCAGGAATGCCCCAGAGCAAGGCCCTTTTCCCACCCCCTTCCCACCTCCCCCAGGCAGCTGGAAACAACCTCTCCCTTTGTTTGAGTTTCTTGTGCAGAATAATCCTCCTTACTGACAATGTATTCACTGTGTCCTGTGGACACAGGGGCTGTGTGAGCTAATCCCAGCACCAGGCAGAACGGAGGCTGAATCCTTCCAAACGCCCACTTGGTCAGCTCCTGATGACTGTCCAGAGGGACTACTAAGGAGTGACTATTTTCTTCCATTTGTTTTAGATATGGGGGGATGCCTTTGGTAGTTTTGCAGTAGTAGGAATAGGGCAGGAACTGTAATCCTTTTCTGGTCAGTCCTCAGACACTGAGGGTTTAGTGTCTACTTACGGATGCTTGATGTGACTGTTGCCTGGAAGTCTTGAACACACATGGGCTAGCACTTGAAAAGGATTTGCCAGCCTGCAGACAGCTTCCTGATTAGAACAGAAGGCAAACGACCCATCTGACATGGCCATGGAACTTCATCATTTCCAACAGAGAGGACAGGCTTCCTGTCTTCTAACTCATGTTCTTGTTCTTGAACTCCCTGTCACTGAGGCTGCTCTCTCAATGCATCACATGCTTTCAGGTTGTCAGCCACTGTTGGACAGAGCAGCTTCTCCACACACAATGTGGACAAGGCTCCTGACTTCCCTGTGTCTCAGGTTTCCCCCTTGGGGGATCCCAGGGACTGTTCCAGCTCGATCTCTGGCAGTCATTCCCAATCCTGCTTATCCCCATGCATTTTTGTTTTATTTTCCATACTGCAGGGCCATGTCATATAGACAAGCCAATGTTTTCCTAGAATAACGCCTAAGTACAGACTGTTTCCAAAGTTCCCTTGGTTACCTACCACCAACACCCCTCTAGACCACTTCCCTAACATTGTTCTAGCTTTCACCTCATTCTCTGGTGTGGATTCAGCAAAGAGGTAGTAAATTACTAGAGGCATGTGGATATCAGAAGCCACCTTCTCAATCCCAGACATCTCTTTCCTGGACAAGATGTTTGTACAGACTCCTCCAGAATAGGCACAAATTGGGCTGAGAATTTAGCTCAGCGCCGCCGCTCCTGCCTCAAGTTTAAGGTCCTGAGTTCGATCCCTGGAACCGAGAAAACAAAACAAAAACCAGAACAGAAGAGGCACAAATTTATACTTTTTCTGTATGACAGTCAGTAACCTATCTTGCTGGATCAAATATAAAGTATCCAAGGCAATTCCTTTTCTTTCTGCATGCAACTCCAGTGCCTTCCTTCGCCTTCACCCTAATTCTCTATAATGTGTGGTTATTTTGATTCTTCATTAAGTTCTTCCCCTACCCCACACATAGACCATCATTTGTTCATTTTGCTAATTTCTCTGGGCTACACCTATCTTCATGGCCTGAGTTAATGTTTTAGTCTCTCTTCCATGTTAAAAATCCTTCTTGACCCTGTGTGTCCCCTGTCTGATTCATAGGAACGTTCTTGAATTAAGGATCCCATACCACCATCTTGTCTACTTCCCATTCCCTTTTCAGCCCCTGTAATTAGGCTTCTGTTTCCACCATTCCTCTGAAACTATAAGAAATATGGCTGACCTATGGCTAAATCCCAGAGCTTTTTAAATTTTTCTATTAGTCTCTCCATAGCATTTAACAGTGCTGACCATTTCTTTAAAGTCTCCTTTCCCTCTCTTGTTTCTGATGTACAAATTCTCTTGTTCTCCCACTCTGCCCATTTGTCCTCTGCAGCTTTTGGACTTCTGCATTTCTGCCCGCTACTTCAGTGTTGCTATACTCGAGTCTAGTTCTTGTCCTTAACCCTCTTTTCATCTTATGCTACCTTGATGTCTCTGTGACAACCACCTTCATACACATACGCAAGTTTTATTTTCAGCCCAGACCTCTTTTCTAAGCTGCACATTTCCATTGGGTGTCCCTACCTGTGTAATGCACATGTACTTCAGGTTCTGCGTATCCAAATGTCACCCTTTCCTCCTGCCTATTTCTCTTCTACTTTTCCTGAACATCACTTAAGCCAGGACTACGGGAACCATCCTATACTATTCCCTTCCATATTCCCAGCTATCCCCTAAGACCAATGTGATACAAAATCCTATCAGTTTGTCTCCCCGGTATCCATCTATCCTGTCCTTCAGTTTAGGATTTGGGGTTTTTTCAATAAAAAATTTGTTTAGACTTCCTACCTTAGGTTCTAAGGATTGTAGCTTGACAGCTTTTTTTTTTGTACCAGGGATCAAATGTAGGACCTTCCACTTGTGAGGGAGGCAGTGGCACCACTAAGCTAAATCCCTGGCCCCTTGGCAGCTCTTTCTAAACTGCATGTCTGACCACATTACTCCCTTCATTAAAATCCTTTTGATAGTTCATTCCTCATATTTTTCAAACTGGGGTCCACATACCTGGTAGATTTGTCAGGACAGTGTGCCAGTGATACTGAGAGTCACATGATAAAATCCGCCCTAGAATGTTCATTTTACCTGAGGGCAAGTAATTTAAAATGGAATGCAAATTTAGCATACACATATGCATTATGGAGAGGAAATAGACTTCAAAGAATTCCTGCAGGTCTGAATAGCCTCAAACTAAGCCAGCAGATTCCTTGGAGCCATTATAGTTATATTTATTTGTTTTATTTTTGCCATTACATTTACTTCACTGGAAAAGTACTTTAAATAACTCAGATTTCCAGGAAAGGCAAATAAGTTTCTATGATCTGGCCCCCTGCCTCCTCCTGATTTATCTCCTCTATTGTCTTGCCACCTACTTAATTCCAAAAGCCATCCAGACTGCTTACAGTTTTCCTGAATGTAATAGGCTCTTTCAAACCTTCATTCCTTTATCTCCACTGTTCCTCTACTTTGCTCTTTTCTGTCTGATGAATACCTAATCATTGTTGAAAATTCAGCTCACAAGTAAGTCTCCCTCTGTGAAGCTAACATTCCTGTCTCTCCAAAACCCAATACTACTCCCAGCAGGAAAAGTCAATTAACTCCTCCTTTATGTCCCATTTTGGTGTTGTGTACAGACTTACTCTAGCTTCCGCCACACATTACTGTCCTGCAGGTTCAAGCACCCTGAGCCGTCAAGAGTTTGAATTACAGTTCTTCCACCTGAGAACTATGTGATTGTTGGCAAGATAAAGTGTGTGTCTGGTATATCATAAACGCTGCCAATAGTGGTGCTACTATTATTATTTTTATTATGATTTTACTTTGGAGGAGTAATATAGAACACCATTTTGGTTGAAAGAGCAGGCTCTAGTGCCAGATTTCTTGGGTTCAACTCCTAGTCCCCACCACTGTGTGCCCTTGGGCAAGTTAGTTATCTCTGCTTCCATTTCCTTATTCCTGTGGATGATGATAACGGCTATTTCATAGGGTTGCTGTGAGTTTTTAAGCAGGTTAATATATAGAGATTACCTGACAATAAGAAAAGCTCAGTACACATCAGTCATCCGTAGGATGGCAGCTAGAAATTTGCTATCAGTTATTTAAATAAATGATTGACTCCTCTAAGATTTTGCAACCTTTCCTTCCTTACGCAGCTCCCCTGTTCCAGCGTTTCACCTCTTGTGCCAGTTTCATTCCTCACTCTTTATCTGGCAACTAGTGCAGAGCAGGCACTGGAACCTTTTTGGACGAACATGATGAATCAATCTTGAATCTAGTTTTTTTTTTTTTTTTTTTTTTTTTTTTTTTTTTTTTTTTTTTTTTTTTTTTTTTTTTTTGTGGTACCGGAGATCGAACTCAGGGCCTTGTGCTTGCGAGGCAGGCAGCGGAACCACTGAGCCAAATCCCCGGCTAGAGTTCCTTAGTTCTTAAGCTTGCCTCCATTCGGTTCGTGCTCACCACCGGTCCCTTCAGACCTTGTTTTAGTGTGTGCTCCAAATTCTCACCACTGTCCTGTATGTGTTCTCAGCTGTAGCCATAAGGAGTTACCCTTGGCCAGGTGCTGCCTTTCCCCCTAGGCGTTCCATGCTCTGCCCACTTGGAATATCTGTTTCTCTTTCCTGCTGTCACCTCCTTATGCATCTGGTAGAAATTCATTCTTCCAATTCAAATGTCACTCCTATAAAGTTCTTACCACCTCCTCCTGTACATTTGACTGTTCATCTTTATTCACTTCTATGATAACACTCATAATTCTATTACAGTTTATTTTTTATAAGTTCAAATCCTGGCCTGGTCACTTACTCATTGTTTAACCTTAGGCAACTAACTTCACTTCTAAGAACCTCACATTTTCTAAGAAGCTTGCCACCTCTGTGCAATGGGATTATAGTACCAACCTCAAAGGAGACTTGTAACCCAGCATATTTAAAATTAAATTTAAACTTTTAAGTAGCTGTCAGTGTTCTGTAGGATAAAGTGCAAGTGTTATTCTTGTGTTTATTCTCCTGAGAAATAATTTTTATCTGATAGTAGATTAGCTGTTTTAATTGCCACATAATATAATGAAGCTAGCAGAGAGAGAGAGAGAGAGAGAGAGAGAGAGAGGAGAACGAGCACTGATTTTATCTGGGTTGTATGGGTGGTGTTGGATGGGCTCAGGGGTTCAAATATCTGAGCTGTTTGTCCCTGCATTTCTCTATGTTACATCATCATAGATTGTCTCATGGAAGAACCCTGAGCCAGATGCAATGGCACACACCTGTAATCCCAGCTACTCAGAGGCTGAGGCAGCAGGATTGTAAGTTTGGGCCAGTTTAGGCAACTTTATGAAATCTTACCTCAAAACAAAAATAAAAGGGGGCCAGAGGTGTGTAGTTCAGTTGCACAGCACTTGCTTAGCATGCATGAAACTCTGGGTTCAATCCCCATTACCACAGATGTGCACATGCACAAAAACATCCTGGAAAAACTCTGGATTAGCTTGGATTATGGTAAATGCCATTAGGAGCCTGGACTGGAGGGGAGCGGATGAAGACACCAGGATTAATGAGCCAGTGGACTTGGGGAGGAATTCCTTAAAGGAAATGAAAGCAAGAAGCTGGGAAAGTGTCAGAACACAATCCAAACTAGAGCTACGACAGTGTGCTTTATCTGTGATTTTTTTTTCTTCTGGATTCTCATCTTTCCTCCTGCACTTATAGCACTGTTTTCCAAATTGCCTGCCTAATGTGAGATCTCATGTCAAACTCAGGATGTCCCAAACTGCATTCACTTTTTTCCATTCACTCCACCTGAGTTATCCAACTTGCCAACATTGTGTCAGTTCTAGGCCCTGTCTCTGCTCTGGCTCTTTTTCCTTCTCCCCACCATTGATCTAGGTTAGGCTTTGTGTCATATCTGTGTCTCTGACTGGGTCTCTAGCTGGCCTCCGTCCCCTCCTCTCCTTTCATCTTGACAATGCAGACATTCCTTGTTTACCATCTAAGTTAAGGTCCTGCAGCTAGGTGAATTGGTCGCTAAATGAGGAATTGTATATAGTATGTACCTTGCAATATTCAGAATAAAGGAATGGCCAAAAGAAACTCTGTTGCTTTTATTTGTATAACTCTGACATATTGTACTATAATGTATAACCAAACATAAAACTATAGTACTGTACATTCAAAAATTATAGTACTATATAAACAAGATACACTGTACCAAAAAAAGACATTGAGGCTCTATAAACAAGATGTACAGAACTGTATAAAAAATAAGACAGGTCAGAAGTCCGAGCAGTGGGTTATAAGTCTAAACAGTCATTAAACAAGTAGGTCATTAAATGAGGAATATCTGTTGTCAGGCTTGTCTTTCAAAGCACATAGAAGATTATATCAGACCACTCAAAAATCTTCAGGGACATGCCTATACAAACTAAATCCCTCATTTAAAAAAATTCAAAACACTCAGCCAGGCATGGTGGTGCACACCTGTAATCCTACTACTCAGGAGGGTGAGGCAAGAGTATCATAGTGAGTTTGAAGCCAGTTTTGGCTACATAGTAAGTTCAATGCCACCTCAAACTACATAGCGAGACCCTGTCTCAGAAAGACAAAACACTTCATGATTCTGGGCCAACCTACTTTTTGACCTATTATATGAAAATCTTTCCTTCACCTATCATGTAGATGAACTGAATTCTTTGTAGTTCCCTATGCCTGTCCTGTGCCTTTCTGGGTCCAAACATTTGTCCATGAATTTACCTCAGCCTAAAATGTTTTTTGCCACCACCTTGCTTGCTTTGTGACCTTCAGCAAATGCTTTGACCTGTCATTTTTTTCATCTGCTAAGAATTGATAATAGTACTGACTTTCAAGCCTGGCATAGTGGTGCACGCCTGTTATTCCCGGCACTTGTGAGGCTAAGGCAGGAGGATCACTGCATGTTTGAGGCTGGCAGGGGGCTACATCGTGAATTCAAGTCCAGCCTGAACTACACAGTGAGACCCTGTATTAAAAAAAAAAAAAATACTGACCTTACACAACTCAGCCATGAGCACATATGGAAAGCAGCTAACTTCATGCTTGCCAGAGAAAATACTGAGTAGAATAGGCTCCTCTTTCCCCTTCTTGACCCTTCTCACATATCTTCTATATCTTGCTAACTCTCTTTGCTTCATCCTGATCGCCTGCTTGAGCTTGTTCCCTAAGAAAAGCCTCCCATTTTTCTTTCTAGGCTCTTCCTGCATGTTCTAGCACACTCTTTCCCCCTTCCTGCATTTCTGCAGTCCAGCAGACACTAAGTGATCACCTATCGTGAGTGGCTCTGGCCACCCAAGCATAGATCAGGTCTTGTTCCTCATTCTTCCAGATGAGCACATGCATGCAGTCTCCTGGGAACCATATGTCTTTCCAGGTCCAGTCCCTTCAGCAGGTTTCAGGAAGAGGACACCAGCTAGTTAGCTGAGGCCCAGAGATGGGCAGGATGATTAACTGGCAAACCTTTGACCTTGTCTTGGCTCGTCTGTGCTCCCTATTTCAACCCTCTCATCAGCTCCTCTGGGTACAGTATAGGAAATGCCCTTTGTCTTTAAAGGTTGGTAGGGAGAAGCTTGACACAGCCCCCAGCAGGCTGCCTGTCTCTCCCTGCCACTCCTGTTGCCCTTTACCAGAGACCCTCACTTCCTGTTGCTCATAGCTAACTGCCCTGTGGGTTGCATACTCTTATTTCCTCACTGTTCCACTCACTCTTAAAAATGCAAACATACCTTTTTTCATTCCTTCCTCACTGCTGTTTCTGGTCTCACTAACATGTAATTTTTGTGCTGAATCACAGAGCCTCAAACAATCATGGGACTCAAGTTAGTGGAGTTCATGCATGTGGTAGCTCTCAGGCCAGACCTTTGGAGGAAGACATTACTGGTTTATCTTCTAGGGAAAAGATGGGGCCCGGTGGAGAACAGTGAGTGAAGAGTGACTCAGACAGGGTGGGACCCAGGGGAAGTTCACCTCACTTCCTATGAATCAGGAAGGCTCCAGGAAGGAGGTAGAATCTTAGCTGTTGGACTGGACATTCTTTCCCCAGTTTACAGGGCTGTCTTCCTTATGAAGCCTGTGGTTTCATTTTCTCTAGGTTTGTCAGCCTACCTTGTTTGGTTTCCTTTCTACCTAGCCTTCCCTAAACTCTTACCTCCAAGGCCTTCACCTAGCTTTCCTACAGACTTCAAACTTCTACTTCTGCTGTCCTACCCCTCCCCCTGCACTGGTGGAAAACATTACTCCTCATGGCCCCAGAAGTGGAGCCATGATCTCTGCTCAGCCTGCCCACTGCCTGCTGTCAGCTACGCCAGACTTGCCATTTCCCTACTATCCCTCATGGTCAGCCAGTGCCTCACTTTCTGGCTAAAGGGAAGTTTTCATTCTGTAGAGTTTACTCTGTAATCCAGGCTGGCCTCAAACTCATGGCAATCCTCCTGCCTCAGCCATCCAAGTGCTGGGATTACCACATGTGCCACCAAGGCTGGCATCTCTAATACTTTAAAATCTCCCCGAGTGTTGGAGGCCAGTCAGGGTGAGTTAGTGAGACCCTGTTTCGCATGGTTTGGGAGGTAGAGTGCTTGCCCTGGGTTTAATTCCCAGTAAAACACACACACACACACACACACACACACACACACAAAAAAAATTCTAGTGTGCAGCCAGGACCAAAAAGTAAACAAATAAAATCCAAACTTTTGACCACGGCTACAAGACTCTTCATAAAGTGACCCTTGCCTGCCTTTCCTTCCTTCACACATCTGCCACTTGAGCTGGAGCCATCCATACCAACCTGTCACATCTTCTGCTTCTGTGCCTTCATATATATGCTTCCCTCCACTCATGCCAAAACATAGGACAAACAACTCAACCACAGGAATAGAACTAGTAAAGTTCAGGGGCTAGGGATTTAGCTTAGTGGTTCTGCCACCTGCTTCGAAAGCACAAGGATCCTAGTTCAATCCCCGGTACCAAAAAACAAAACAGAAAACCCCCATATCTAGTGAGCCGGCCGTGGTGGTGCACGCCTGTAATCCTAGCACTCAGGAGGCTGAGGCAGGAGGATTGCTATGAGTTCAAGACCAGCCTGGGTTATATAGTGAGTTCTAGGTCAGTTTCAACTACATAGTGAGACCCTGTCTCAAAAAACAAAACAAAACCAAAACAACAACAACAAAAAACCCTAGTAAAGTTCACACAGGTGGTGGTTTCCTTACCTTCTAGAAAGTGTCTTTTAATGCTCAACTTGGTTATTATTCCTATGAAACCCTAAAGTATTAACCTTCATGGGCTGGGCATGATGGTGCATGCCTGTAATCCCAGTACTTGGGAGGCTGAGACAGGAGAATATCCACAAATTCGAGGCCAGCCTGGGTTACATAGTGAGTTTAAGCCCAGTCTGAACTACAAAGCAAGATTTTGTCTCAGCAAAAACAAAAAACAAAAGAATTAACCTCCCTGAGTTAAGGCAGCTCCCTGCCCCCATGCTTTCATAACCCTCTGGGTTTGTCTCTAGGGCAGTATTTATCACACGCTACTGTAATTGTTCATTTATATGTCTTCTCCACTAGACTGTGTTTGGAAGGAACTCCAGGGCCATGCAGATAACATTTGGTAAGACTTGGTTCTATGTCAGGTATTGGAAGATGTTTTATCTTAGGATCAGGATAAGAACTGAACAGAATATCTTTGCACATATTTATTTATTAGTCAATGTGGTCTGAGGGCTTTTTGTGGTCATTTATGAATGTAGTTCAGGTGAATAAATGTATAGCTAGTTACCTGTTACTATTGTGTTTGATGTCTGGGATAGTGTTTTGTTTTGTTTTTGTTGTTGTTGTTTTTTGGCAGTACCAGGGATTAAACTCAGGACCTTGAGCCTACCAGGCATGCACTTTGCCAACTGAGCTATATCCCCAGCCATGGAGACAGTTTTATCATCAATAATAGTCTTTGTAGTGGAGCCTGTGCTTTGCACACAGTATTTAGTAAATATCTGTTACACTGACACAATGTACCTTGATATATTAAGTGATTTCCCCACCTTGCCTATTAAATGTTGGTTTATCTCCTTTAATTGTCACAGTAAGCCTATGGGATAGGTACTACCATTGTTCCCATTTTATAGAGGTTCCACAAGTTACGTAAGCTACACAGCTACTCATTAAAACATTTAAAAAAATAAATTAAACATTTAAACTCAGGACTTTGGAGTCAGGTATGACCTTAAGGCCACTAAGTGTACCTGGAAGACATTAAGCCTTCAATAAATATTGATTGACTCAATAAATACTCTTCAGAAGGGAAGTGAAAAGACTTTCAAACTTTGTCTTTACTCTCTTTTCTTTCTCACACTGTTTCATTCACTCTAACACACTCTAGAAGGTCAACTGATTGTCAGGTGATAGACACACAGAAATGACTAAAATATGGCTCTGTCTTGCTGAGAGAGCTTATAGTCAGGGGAAGTGACCTACCTGAGAACCCTGACTGTGCCTTGTGTTGAGCCAGGGTAAGGACTTGTGTTGGGTTAGAATGACAAAAGATGTTGACATCCTTGGGAGATGGTTAATGCTCAGGCTGTGACCCAGGACAGTGACATAGGTAGGATAAAAGGAACTGGTAGGGACTACATCAGGTAGGGCTTTAGCATACAATACTAAAGAGATTGAGCTTTTGAGTTGGATTCTTTTACCATTTCCTTTCAAGGACAAGTACTAATGGGCTGCGTCAGAGCTGTATTTTGGCTCTGACCTCTTACTTAAACTCTAGGACAAAGCTGCATCCCACCATTTATGCACATATTATTCCCCCCAGCCACCACCTCTTCTGATTTCCCTAATTCTGTCTACATTTATACCAGCCAATCCCACCAGCAGTTACTGGATCACTGTATGCAAAGCACTGTTCCAGGAGCTGCTGGTGGTAGAGGTTTCCTTTCACTGTTCAGTCACTGTTTAACAGTTCAGTCTAGTTGGTGGGTTTGTGGAGGCAGGACCCAGGTCGTGTAGAACCGACAATTAAATGTATACCTGGCGGCATAGTACACCTAGAGGAAATCTCCACATTGCCTCCGCCGATCCTATCAGTTTCCTCCTTAGGTCTGGCTGTTGTCTCTCACCTGTCTTAATGCAGTACACTCATCACCTAAGCTCTGAGTGCAGGGAAGGTGTCACTAGAGTTTAATACAGTCTTGGACATTGTAGGTTGTCAATAAATGTTGGATGAACTATACAAGCCTGATTATAGCCTTCTTGAAGATCTTCAGGTTCTCCTCTGCTTCTAGAATAAAATCAGACTGTCCCCATTTGGCCTTCAAGATCTACTACATTCAACCACAACCAGCTTCGTTTTTTTTTTTTTTTTTTTTTTTTTTTTTTTTTTTCTTTTACTGCTTTGAAGGCGAGTTTACCCAGTGATTCACTGTTCTAGCCCCAGGTCACTGGTATTCTTCCTCCACCTCTGCTGCATGCTATCATCTGTCTCTCAGCGGAGGCAGCTCTTAACTGCTGAGGCACAACCAATTTTATAGGCTGAGAGAGGCGGCAACACTGGTCAGCGCTCCCTCCCGCTAAGTCCGCTGAGCCACCCCAGGAGGCCCTTAGCAAGCACAGCTGGACCCTCTTGGCCTTGCCTGGCCGGAGGAGCACTGAGGAGAGCTCTGAACCTTGGAACGTCCCCCTAGTTCCAGGTTGGCCCTGCCGCAGATGGCACATGTGCGGGTCCTGTTGGTGGACTGGTCGTTGGGCAGAGAATGGGGTCATCGAAGGCTGGACTTCAGGAAGAAGCAGGGTGCTCCCAAGGCAAGTCAGGCCGCAACAACCCGGCCAGGCAGGCTGAGAGATGCGAGGAAGGGGTGGGGAACCGGGGCTGGGTTGCTTCCTGCCCCGGGATCAGGCG